AGTCTTGCTGGTACTCTGGTGAGACATCATTTTCTTGGTGGTTTCAATGTATTTGCTGATGAATGCAATGTTTCCATGGGGTTTTTGGTCATACTAGCACAGTGAACCATGGGTCACAAGCTACAGTGACTACTAGGCTGTCTTACAAGGCTAAGTCATCTCTGCATCTGCTCTGATGTTTCCTGATAGGTCTTGTGCCATTTTCCATGAAATGAGTCACCCCGGACCTCATATGTGAAGTTGACATTATCTTGTCGGCTACCCTAATTGAAATTCATTTATTAATATTCTCTAAAGAAGTCTCCATAGCTATTCCTGAAAGTTTGGAATGTCACAACCTGAGTTTAATGTGCCCTCTATGCACAGATAACATCTCCAACTTTCCTCCTCAAATTCATATGTAAAGATACGTAATGAGACTAGATCTAGTCTTGACTGTTGAGAATGCTGTGCCTTCCTGTTCTCCACACAGAGGAGTATTTTTTCTGCTACAAAAAGTTCCTTCCCATAGTTCTTCAGTTATCACAACTCTGATTCCACCCAGTTTCCCTTGATCTCAAGGAAACAATCCAACTTTTCATTAATAACTTTTCACTTGGAGACCTATCAAGAAAAGAGGGCCATTGTGTCTACCTGGTCTCCCCTGTGCTCATCTCCAGCCTTCGAGGGACTTCAATAAACTTGTGAAACATGTTTCCTTTTCTGTTTGGTTGCCTTCCATGGGTAATGATCACATTAGTATGCTGTAAGAGGCACAAGGTACAAAGTAGATGCTTTTTCATAGAAGAGACAGCAGATGTGCGCTTACCCAACAAATAAATGTGATAGAATATGATGGGGTTGAGAGCTTGAAAGAAAAGAAACCATAGAAAAACTGTATTTTATAATTCAAAAAACTCTATTTTGTAAAAGTGTATTTTAAAGGTGCCCTTCAAAAATATAGAAAACATAGTGACACACTGAATATTTCAGTAAGTCAAACAGTATAGAAACCTCATGATTTATATCAGTGGGCTTTCTACAATTTATTTGGCCATAAACCCTTTTTTTTCAATTTTTATTTCATCTCTTTGAAGAAATTTACTTGATAAATATTGTCTAAGATGTTCTCTGGAGCTCTTTGTTCTTTTCATGGCTTATGATTTCCCAACATTGGAACACTTTAGATGTTCCTTGACGTGAGTAGACTGTGGGGACAGAGCCAAGGGAGAAAGGGGGGCTTGCATA